GAACAGAGAGTAACACAGAGCATCCATGGATGGATGTTGAAGAGCAGAGGAAGACAGAGGAGGGACACGTGAGTCTGGTGCATCTGAAAAGACTGAAACCGTGTTCCTCTCTTCCTCTGTGACGCGTTTGAATGTCAAGACCGAACACGAGCGGCTCGGCCAAAGACACACAGAGAAAATCAATCTTTATTCTGTCGGCAGCGCGATGACTCCGTTACCATAGAAATAGTCTATTTATATCAAGGATGGTTGGAGGAGCGGTTCTCGGGTGTCACGGAAAGTCCTTGTGAGGACATGACAGAGGAGACACAGTCCGTCTGTGAGGGAATAAAAGAATTTTAGTACAACTCGTCTGTAGGTGGAAGTTTAATTCAACAAGACGGAGCAGTAACAGACATGGAGGATAAAACAGTCAAATAACTTCAGTATGGTAATGCATAAAAACTTAACACATAAATTAGATTTTAGATGTGTCTGAAAACCTCTTGTGGCCACTCAAACAACGAGTGTCCTCTCCAAGAACTAAAACCCCCCTCCCCCTCCTCCACACTGAGTGGCCAGAGGTCAGAGGTCAGCTGCAGCACAGTGTTCCCACAGCTGCTTGCGATTCAGTACTTTACTCAAGGACACTTCAGCAGAGAGCAGGGTTTTGACCCTGAGCTTAAACTCATTAATCACTACACATCCTGCCGCAGCAGAAACAACCCAGCGAAGGTCGTTAGAGCCGAGGAGAACGAGCTCCTGCTGAAAACCTCTAACATCAAATAAAATAAACCACAACACACAGAAAATAGAGAAGAACATCAGTTTGTGCTTAACATCATCAACGTAATCAAACCGACCACTGAACACAGCCAGACCGACGTCCTCCCTCCTCACAGGCGGACGCTTCCCTTTATGTACAGATATAATATGCACAAATGTAACACACAGCAGTAGCATTTTACTCAGAGACTCAATGAATGTACAAAATAAACACCGTAATGCAGGAGGTGGCGCCATCGCAGCAGTGTCACGCAATATCACGATAAATGTGTCGCTCGCACGGTTCACATGGTGTAAACAGTCACATGATTTCAGTGGAAACACACGTGTACAAACATTCCTGTTCTTTTATTTCTTATTCTGTCCTGAACGTACAGAGGTTTATCTAAGATGTATATTTAATAAAGCGATATTTCACACAGGGGGAATATTATAAATTGACTTATTGCCCTTTGAATTTATTAAAGAGTATTTATTATCATCATTACCACCTGCTCATGAGTCGTAGTGACTAAACAAACCTACAGTCACCTTTTAAGAAAAGTGAATATGGAGAAAAGCCTTCAAAATAAAAGCAACAAGACAGTGACAGATGGCCTGGGTTATCCTCCGTTAGCAGCCGACTCTTCATGAATTTAAATGAATAAAAACTATTCTGTCCAGGTGAAATATCGCTTTAAAAACCAGAAGGAAATGATGAATATTAAAGTTTATGAAATGTATGAAACAAATGTATCCTGTGGCCTGAGAAAGACGTCGTGTCTCTGTTTGTGAATCTTTTGAAATCGATATATGACAATGAAAGTAACGTTTAGCACAGAAGAAATAGCATAATGAACACTAAAGGGATATGTCACTTTTATTTGAAAGGTCATTAGTTTTTCTCTAAGCTGGTGGAAATGTTTATGGATGATAGAGTTAATATAAGGAAATCAGTGTGTCTGTAGATATTTGACCTAAATGATATTACTGTAGAAAAGTGACATATCCGTTTAACCTGAGTGAAAACCAGGGTTTGAGACTGTTATAAAGCAGACGGGGGTTTTAATATGATTTGAGCTCTTTTGCTTTTTTTTTGCATTTTTCTCGTCACATTCTGTGATAAACAGGTGATGACTTTTTTTGATCTTTTTAAAGTCGTCCACTTCTTCAAGAATCTTTCTGGTGAAAAGTTGAAAACAATTTTAAATATAAAACAATTTTTTCTGTTGTCAGATCAACTAATCAAAGGAAAACTTTTACACAGTTGATCTGGTTCAGGCGTATTCACATTACAGTGGAAAAACAATGGTCTTGTGCAGTATTTACCGCCCCAGGACTCCTGGTGGCGCTTTATTAAACAGCACTGCAGTTCCTCTAACGACCACTAGAGTCTGGCTCCAACAGTGAGTCAGTCCCCATAGACTCCCATGTTAAAATGTCCAACTTTACAGCAGAAATAAACATGTTTACAGCCTGGTACAAACCATTTAAATTTCATTAAGGCTTAAAGTTATGGAGAATTGAGGGTGTGGCCTATTTGAGTGACAGAGGTGAGTGTGTGTTTGCCCCTCCTCTTTGACCATATTTGGATTAGCTGGGAGTTAGGGGGCGGAGTCAGACACTGTCAAGATGGCGACTGTGGAGCAGCTCACTCTGAGCTTCAAAACCGCTCTTGAGAAACCAGGTTATAACGTCCTCAGTGGACACCTGCATGAATATGATTGGATGTTGGCCACACAGATTGTGAATGAGCCAATCATTGTGAAGCATATCAGCCACAGTGCTCTGCCTGAACTCACTGAGAGATACCGGTGACTGCAGTGCAGCTCAGGTCAAAGTTCAACAAATGTGAACTCTGGGTGAAGAGCTGAAACAAAATGGAGGAGATGCTGTTTTTTTCTGTGACAATGTGAATACGACTTCAGGCAGCACTTTTACTCCCCAACAGAAACGTGGGAGTTTGAAGCTTCTGTATGATGAAACGGGAATGTTCTTTTGTCTAAAGCCATGTTTCAAAGACGACTTTATATGATTTGTACTTTTGGATCAAATATTTGTCAGCGTTACAAAATCAGCAACTGTGAAGAAGAGTGAAGAACAACTCCTGTTTTCATTTTTATTTTATTTCAGTCATTGATGAATCGTCTGTTACATGTATTATCTTGTTCTGTTTTTCCTCCTGATTGAAAGAACAATCAAATTCTAATTGAAATGTCCTCAACTGCACAGAAACCTGGTTTGCCAAATGGTGTGAAGAGCACAGTCACTTGTGTAGAGTGTTTAACTGTAGTTTGTCGTTAAAATGATGTCATCATGATGTCATCATGGGATCCATGTTTCTTTGTGACAATTATTTGTTACCATTTTGCGAATCTATAAAATCACACTCCAGATAAACATTCCTCAAATAAGGATTGAATGTATGGAATATGGAATATTTTAAATGTTCAATAAGTGATCGAACAAATATAAATATATCTGTGTCATCATTTAGAGAAATCTCTTACCTTTGGTCCCCACTCACAGTGAAAGAAAACGCTGCTTTGTGTGCTTCAGGAGGCTGGTGAAGCTGCATGTTGTAAGTGTGTGACGCTGTAAAGGTCTGATGCCTTGTTCCTGTGCATACTGAGAGCTGTATACTGTATGTTAACGACGATGCTGATTTTTAAGTATGATTTTCTTAACGTGACCAATAAAAAAAGTTGTTTTGCTGTTGTTTTTAATGCCGTGTTTTCTCTCTTTAACTTCACATGAACCAAATTTTCTATTTAAACTGATTAACAAGTGAGAAAAACATCTAGATCCGTCCGTCCACCTTAGTAAGACATAAAAACATCATAGTACAGTGAGGCATAAAAACGAGCAGCAAAATCAGGCACAAATTCCTTCTGTATCTAGTGTTGTATTGTTGTCATGACCCTGCCCATTTAGGAGACAGGAAGTGGATACCATTTCATACGACTGGCGCTGCTTATAATGCGTCATCTTTTGTTATAGAGTCTCTTAAAGTCCAGCTGAGGCAGAAGGAAACCTAAGACGCTGAGCTGTGAGGAGAGTTTGTCCTAGTGGCCACTGTTGGTATTGCAGGTACAAAAGGAAAACATGAGCAGTGTCCGTTGGTTTCATGATCTAAAGAGTTTAGCTAGTTTTCCACCTCTGTCGCTTCCCTCCCTCCTCCTCTTAACTAACGAGCTTAGGAGCATCAGCTACCTGTGGTGCCTGCTACTATATTTACCTCTCAGCAGTCCCTGGGACAAATAAAGAGAATTGGAGATGGCTGTTTGTCACCTGCCTGCAGGGAAACAACAGCTTGTTGAGCTGAAAGTAATGAGAAGAGCTATAAATAAATAAGGAAGGCGGAAGACACAGAAAAATAAATGATGGTTGAGGACTGAGATTAATTATTGTTTGATAAAAGAGGAAAGTAACGCTGATATTCACTGACTGAGTGTGTGAGGAAGAAACAAGGAAACAAAATAAAAATGAAAAGAATTGAGGTCAGAGAGAGAGAAAGACAAAGAGATGAAACGATCAGAGAAGGAGGAAGGAGAGAAAAAACAATGACCTGAACTTTGAGGAAAAAAGAGGAGAATATGAGTGAAGACATGAGAGGAAAATCAGAGAATAGAAGGACAAGAGGTGAAGAGAGTGAGAGGACAGAGATAGAAAATGCTGGAGACAAAGATGAGAAAGTGAAAGGTGGAAACAGAATAGAAAAGAGGAGAAAAGAGGAGATGTGAAGAAGGAACTGGGATGGAGGAGAAAAGAAAGATGATTAAACAAAAGTGGAGAAGAGAGGAGTGGAAAAGTGGAGGAAAATAAAAAGAGGGAGAGAAGGAAAATAAAAAGACATGAAGGAAAAGCATGTTAAATACGATTCTACTTTCATCCTTAATTTTTGATGCCACAAACTGTCGGTCTCATCTAAAACCCAGAGGAAATCAAACTGACGTTTCCATGGTTCCACAGGTCAAGAGGTGAGTGGCAAAAAATCAATTAAATCAATTTCTAAAAAAATCTAATTCTAAACACTGATGAGAATTTAAATAAGGTTTGGTGAAAATATGAAATCCAAGATTAAAACAAAAAAATATGATTCTCTGATATGAAATAAACCATTTCAGTAGTCACGATACCCAAACTCAGTGTGACCTCTGACCCCAGAGTATCAACGTCTCATTTTGTTCCACAGAAACAAACAAACAAACAAACAAACAAACAAACAAACAAACAAACAACAACACACCAGAATGTGAAGTCTAAGATTTTTATTTGAGTGTTTTGGCTTCAGGTCATTCATCAACTTCGTTGTTAAATCAAACAAAAGAAAAACCTGTTAATTATCAGATTTCAAGCTTTTTTAATACGTCCACAAAATACAAGAACTTCCAGAAGATTTCCTCCTTTCTGAATAAATTATAACAACAAATGCATTTTAATGTGATGAGGAGAATCTGAACAGACTTAGTCTTTCTTCTGTTGTTTAGGAAGCAGAGGAAGGAGGAGTTTTACTTTGAAGGATGAAGGAGAGACTATAGCTGAATGTATGAGAGTGTGACAAATCGACAGGTCGTACAAACGTTACCTCCCTGCGTCACCATATGTCTCTGTACAAAAAAATTATGTTCAGAAAATGTTCAGATGTCGTTATAAAGGTTTTCCAGTGTGTGGGTGTTTCAATCTGTCTGGCAAGTTTTTTTAACTTCAAAATAAAGTTTTCTTCTAATTTAATGTCAAAAACATCTTTTATTTTGAAGTGAATATCTTCAGTGTGGCTTATATTTGTTTGCTGATGTATGTTTCTTCTACACAAGTTATATACATGAGCTTTACATTAGTTATATGAAATGAACAATTAGAAACCCCCCCCCCCAAAAAAAACAGGAAAAAATAAAAAGGCAAAAATGTTAATTTTTGAGGGTCACTAAACTGGAGCGAGCCCCTCCCTCGAGGAGGACACAGCTGTGAGCAGAGCGGGAAACACGGCTGGTACTACATGAACATGTCGTCATAGCCGGGCGGGGGCATGTGGTCGGGGTCCGGCCTAGGAAACAGAGACACAGTGCTGTTGTTACCGTCACATGTTCATTCATAACTTTATTTCACCGGTTTGTTTCTCAGTGGTGAAGCAGCAGCTGGATGTTTCCACAGAGGCTAAAAAATTTGGTAAAAATGGGACTTTGTAAACATCAGGACACGTCTCCCAGTAGAGACTGGTTCTCGATCATCTCTCCACATGAGACCCTGCAGCTTCATGTCGGCAGCGCTGCAGCTAAACTGGAGATCAGCTGCAGCCCGTGGTCATTATTCCTCAGCCAGAGCCGTCCCATCCTCGTGGACATCATATCTCAGTAACGCCATGACGGCATTTCTTTAAATTTGGTAAAAACGTTCACCTGAACTCAAGGACAAACTCACTAGATTTTGGTGGCTAAAGGTCAAAGGTCAAGGTGACCTCAGAAAACACTTTTAACCATTACTCAAGACTCAAAATTTCACACAAATGGTTCATATTTTCTATGACTCTGGATAAACAGGGATGTGACCTGAAACTAGTCAGAGCGGCGGAGGGATACAACCGAAAGGTGGTAACTCTAGTTTTCTTTTATAATTCATTTTATTTCTGATAAAGTAAAAACAGACAAACTTAAACGTTAACAGAAGAGTAGAAATGTTCCTCCTGAGTATCTGCATCAGTGGATCACAATCTGATCCTTTCTTTACTCAACTCTTCTGTGTTCTGTTTGTGTTCCGGCTTTTGGGATCATATGAGTGAAAATGATTTGGTTGCTCTGGTGATCGACTCTGCTCTGACTCTGGTGTTGGCAACAGAAACAAATCCATCATCTCTCTCTGTCATGAGCAGCTCGGCAGACCAGAATAAAACCTGTTGTCTGGTTTGTCTGTTAATGAAAGAGGGCTGAGGGTTGTTGTAGTGAGTGACAGCTCATCTCATCATTCACCCCCCAGTGGGTGAATGGTTAAGGCACCAGGGGACCTTTATTTCATGTTATACCCCTCCCTCCCTCACTTCCTGTCTCTCTCTGCACTGTCTGTTCAAATTAAGGCAAAAAATTTCCCCCCCAAATAATCTTCAAACCCTCCATGACATCATGTAAATTATTCAGGATAGTCAGTTTCATATTTCTTGTGAAAAATATTTTGTGCCAAATTTAGTAGCTGCAGCTTTTATTTCAAAGCGTCTGATACATATTCAATCAACAAGCTATTACATTTCTTCTTCTTCTTCTTCTGCTGTGTAAATAAACACCGACGAGCCGAAACATGGAGACACACAAACATGAAGCAACGCTGCCTTTCTCACAGCAGCAGCATGTCGGCCTGTGTTGTAGTAGATGGTGAGTGAACAGCTGGTTCTTGGAGTCAGTGTTACAGATCAGACCCAGTATCAAAGGACTCAGGATCAGATCAGGATCAGGATCTAGACCGGGTCAATCAACTTTTCTTCTAAACAGAACTGTGGACTTTATTTTATTCTTCCAGTGTTTAAATGTGCACCAGAGTTTTGTGTCAAACTTCTGCTTTAAGAGGACAGACAGAGTGAGGTCTGTGTGTGTGTGTGTGTGTGTGTGTGTGTGTGTGTGTGTGTGTGTGTCTCTCTCTCTCACCCTGGTCGGTGTCGTCCGACGGGTCCGAACGGGTCGAAGCGAGCTCCCGGGGGAACGGCTCCAGGAGGCAGGATGTCTGGTATCCCGCTGGAGGGGTCAAAACCAGAGCGAGGATACCCCGACCTCAATGGGTCGACTATCATCCCGCCACCGCCACGAGACCTGGAGGGGGGGGGTCAGAGTGAAAGACTGTGTTTTATTATCTGTTTTCCCCACTTATTCTTTCTTTTCCTTTCACTTTCATGACTGATTTATTGTTTTATTTAAGTTGTTTAAACCAGGGAGAAACATGGAAACATATTTGTATTTCTGAGGTCAAATTAAAGCGTTGTTGGCATAAAAACACATAAGGAATAATAACCAGACAAGATGATGATTTTACTGCAGTGAGAACCACCTGACCACCTTCCAACAAAACACCAGATTCATCACATTAAAACATCATTTGTTTATTTAGTGACATGAGAAAGCTGCAGTGCTGTTCCATGAAATGAACTTACTGTGATGAAGTGAAGAAATCTCAGTGTTTGTACATAAATCAGTCAAGACAAGTTTGACCTTCAGGGGTGTAAATCATAATCTAATGCAGGAAGCTCATGTGAGCACGGTAAAAAGCTCAGGCTGATGTACAATGAGTGTAGAGATTAAAGACAGACTCGGGCTGTGCAGCCTGACTGCTCTGGTTTCGATATTTTGGATTTTGGATGTATTCACACTCCTCTGGACAGACGCCAGTAATCCACTGCTGTCGTTTTGTTTGTGTGTGGACCGACTGTTCATCCCCAAATCCCAGATTAGAACAAACCCAGAGCGGCGCTTAAAAATGGATCTGAAAGTGATTTTCATTAAACTGATTTTTTATTATGAAGGAGAGAGACGGACAGACAGACTCACCCAAAGGGATCCAGATCTGCTCCTCCAGCTGCGAACGGAGGAACCATGGGGTCAGGCCTGAAACACACACACACACACACACACACACACACACACACACACACACACACACACACACACACAGGCTGTTACTATTTCAAGCTTCTAAAATGTGAGGATTTGCTTCTTTTCTCTATTTTACATCATTTTTTAAATATCACAGTTCAGGTTCTAATCAAAAATGTGAAACGTTTTTCTGCTTCCAGCTTCTTGAACGTGATGCAGTGACCTGAAATCCACATGCACATCACAAAGGTTCAGTTTATTACAAATATAATCCTAAACCTCCACATTACGCTTTACTTATCCCGTCTTAATCCATTTATCCTGTTAGAGACTCTAATTATTCACAGTGAATCAGGCGTGTGTGTGTGTGTCTTTGTGTGTGTGTGTGTGTGTGTCTGTGTGTGTGTGTGTGTGTGTGCGTGTGTGTGTGTGTGTGTGTGTGTGTGTCTGTGTGTGTGTGTGTGTGTGTGCGTGTGTGTGTGTGTGTGTGTGTGTGTGTCTGTGTGTGTGTGTGTGTGTGTGCGTGTGTGTGTGTGTGTGTGTGTGTGTGTGTCTTTGTCTGAACCATCCCTGACTCATTCATCTTAACTTCATGTGTTCTGGATTCTTCCTGTCGTTTGTCCCTCTCCATCTTTCCCTCTCTCTCTCTTCATCTCTTCATCTCCTCCTCCTCCTCTCTGCAGCCCTGACTCAGTTTTTGCTTTCTCATTCATCATCCTCGTCTCCTCGTATCTCTTAAAGCTCCCACTCTGTTTTTCTTATTTTCTCTCTTCTCTCAGATTTTACTTTCTTCCCATCTGTCATTGTTTTGATCTCATCCTTATCTCCCTCCTCTCTCGCCCCCCCTCTCTCTGCGTCTCTCTGGGGACGAGGAGGCGACAGCAGCGAGGTCGATAAAGTGCTGACATCACCTCGCATCTCATCTGATCGGGTCACAGCTAAGGGAGGGGGGAGGAGGGAGAGAGAGGCAGAGATTGAATCTGTCCTGAAGCTCGCTCGCTCTCTCTCTCTCTGTGTGACATTTCAGTTCAAGCCTCCTCTGTAACTCTCTCTGCTGTAAATATTGAATAGAGGATACTGCAGAGCCACATCCCACTGTCACCACACACACACACACACACACACACACACACACACAGACACGCTCTGCCCTCATTTGCTCTCTGCTGCTGTAGTCGACAACAGCTTCTCTGTCTAGACTTTGAAAGGCACAAACTCAGCACGTCCATAAGTGAGTGAGAGAGAGAGAGAGAGAGAGAGAGAGAGAGAGAGAGAGAGAGAGAGAGTGTGTGTGTGTGTGTGTGTGTGTGTGTGTGTTCGTACATTTATTTTTGCGAGCACCAGTTTGACTTACAGACTTTACGGAGTGAGGACATTCTGTCAGTTTGGTGGTTAGGACTTGGTTTAGATTAGACCAAGTACATTATGTCCTCCCAACTGTGGAAGACCAACACTGTGTGTGTGTGTGTGTGTGTGTGTGTGTGTGTGTGTGAGAGAGAGACCATGCTGGAGCGGCTTTGAGGACAAGTCTCCGTCTGTCCTCGAGTGATCCAGCCAAAGCTCAGACTTAAACCGCACAGAACATCTGGAGAGAGCTGGAGACGGCAGCTCACAGCTGAGAGGATCCGACAGGAAGGACGGGGATAAAATCCAGGTGAGTCAAACTTCTAGAGACTCACTGAAGAAAACCGGAGGGTTTAACTGCTGCTAAAGAAGCTTCTACAAAGAACAAGGCTCTGAATACTTAAACGCTCTAATGCTGTGAATGCTTTTTATTTTTAATAAATTTGGAAAAACTGTGTCATTATGGGTAATTCATTGTAGACTGATGAGTAAAATGTTATTTTATCCATTTAAAATGAAACCTACAACAATAAAGTCTTTATTGCCCTTTGTAACTTTGTAGAGTTTTTCTGTTTCTCTGTGACATTCAAAGGGAGAATCCACCCAAATATTTAATTAAGTCTTGTCTGAATTTCATTATAATTTGTTCAATCAAGCGTAGGACTGCAACCAGCAACAGGCTCAGAGCTTAAATACAGCATTTTATCAAAGTCCAGAAGGTGAGCTGTCACATGTCAGGAACTGGACCGCTTCAGGAGAGAGAGAAGTTTCAACTATCGCTGCCAAACTCCCAAAAATAAAAAGATTAGGCCTGTTTCTAGTTTCATAAGCAGCTGTTTTATAACTAACTTGTCACTGTGTGGAAACATCGCCATGAGAGGGCGTTAATCAGCACATCAAACCATCTAAATCACTTAGTTATACAAGGACTCGTTTTTAAACGTTTAAACCTTTTTTTTTTTTTTTTTAACTAAATTTCAGTTAATCAGTGTTAATGAAATAATTCAATCAAAAGGTGGAAACCAGAAGATCTCATGTACATCTGCATGACTGACATAAAAGCTTTTTTTAGACTGTAATAAAAACTGTAGCTTCATGTGATGAAGAAGTAAACAGGCAGCAGAGGATTCAAATGAATCCCATCAGTTCATTCTGAATTACAGAACCTGGAAGTTCCTAAATTCAGACACTTTGGTTTCCACACTTAACATTTTGTCTTTTATTTGTTCCAAACAAATTGGACGATATTGATAAATCAAATATAAATTTTGGACAGAATGCCTCCATATAAATAGTGACTACCGTTGCTTTAGGAAAACCTTGTGAATATTTTCTATGTGGAGGAAAGTTTGGAGTATTACACGTGTGGCATGAAGACTGGGACAGTTCATATGAACAGTGCGTGTCCCAGCTTCCTGTCGTTACCAACCAGTGTGGCTGCGTTCCCTGGCGAGGATGTCTGCTGGGCATGCGGAGGGGGTCGCTGTCCTCTCTTCTTCTTCTCTGCTCCTCCTCCTCTTCCTCCCTCCGCCTCGTCTTCTCTGCCCTCTGCCCCGTCGGTCTGTCCTGGGGGGGCAGCAGCTGAGTCTTCACCTTCTCTGACAAACTGTCTGCATCTTTGAACACACTGGAGAAAAACAGTGTAATATATCAAAATAAAAGTTGGCATCTTTTACTGTCTTGTTTTATAAAGTTTTGTACAAGTGTTCTGTGCATTCTGACAGTTTGTGATGGAGCATCTTTTTATGGAAACATTAACTAAAAACGCTCTATAAATTAAAATAGAATCACCACCTCATGGTTCTATCCCTCCGCCAAGTTACAGGAAATATAGTCACAATCTCTCCTGCCTGTGTTAGTATTGAATAATGACCAGAAGTGTTTTTGCAGAACATTGATGTCACAGTGAAGCTGACCTTTGACCTTTGGGACATAAAGCATCATCACTTCATCATTTTTTCCCCTTATAGACTTTTAAGTTAAATTGTTTCATAATTAGCGAGTGGATTCGTGAGTTATGACCAAAAACATGTTTTGTGAGGTTGCAGTGACTTTGACCTTTGACCATCAAATTCTAATCAGTTCATCCTTGAATTCAAGTGAATGTCTGTGCTGAATTTGATAGATAGATAAAATATTCTCCATATAGTGTACAACTGATATTGGCTTTGTTCTGCTCCTACAACACTGACTACAGATAAGTACCTCACACAACCCCACATCACATAACCTGAACTATCACTTTAACAGAGCTCAGGCAGCATGAACCAACCTGATCCCTGTTGATCATCAGGACATTTAATGGAGGATTCTCTCTTTATTTTTTTCCTGTGGCTGTTGAAACGATTCCCTGAACCATAATGTAGAAACAGAGAGTCACACACCAACCTGTCGAATGTGCGCAGCTGCTCGGTGTTCACGTGATCGCTGATGTTCACCGTCAGGTCTGACACCTGCTGCGTGCTGGAGTTCTTCGTACACACACATGACAGAAACAGAACAAGCAGAAGATCAATGACCTCTTATACATGTGTTTATCAAAGTTTAGACATGAGATAAAATCTGAAATCTGATTCCAACACACCAGGTCAATAACAAAGTGATCAGACGATAATATTTAAGATCAGCTGAAGACCTGAGAATCTTGTTTATGCTGCCCTCCGGTGGTCAGTACAAGTTCTCACCTTGATGCAGTGACAGAAATGTACTCAACCAGAAAAATGTCAAATATACAGGAAACAGATTTATACAGGTAAAGATGAACTCTTCCAAGAAGGGCACCATCATCATGTATAAACACAGTTTTCTAGTTATTTACAGTCCAACAGATGTAGATCTGTCTGCAGGAGATGTGCACTGAATACCTGTGCTGCAGCCTGCTGCTAAGTCAGTGATTTAAAGAGTCTAAGGAGTTTTTCTTTTAGTTTTTATGTCTTCACTCTTCAAACTCTAAAACCAAGACGACTGAACCAGGAATAACATTTAAATTTAATTAAGGTATAGCTTCTTGTTGCCATCTCCTCTTTCCTCTACCATCACACGTTTGTGTTTGTTAAAAAGTAAAATACGTGAGTACGTATGTGTGCAGGTTATCTGAAATTAATTTATTGGCTCATTTATCCATCTTAAGATACTTTTTGTTTAACATTTTAAGGTTTCCCCTTTTTTAGATTATAACTAAATTTGATGTATTGTTGATATAGAGCCTGGATGTGGTGTCCATTTTTAATTAAGTACATTTATTGAATACTGTCACAGTCACCACATCAAACACACTCCACGTCTGCCTGTTGGTTAGTGTTTGGTTCAGAGCAGAAGAACAGATAAACAGATCAGCATAGCGAGTACAAAGTAAAGAAATCCTCAAAATAAGCAAATATCCACACCTGCAGAGGCGAGATAAACATTATCAGTCATTATCAGTGGCAAATTAATTAACACTTACTCTTATTAGCAGCAACTGAAAATGTGAAATATTAAGACAGGAATAAATGCAACACTATCTAAACAGACCACTGTGTTCTTATTTAAAATACTACATTAAATCAGGAGGGATAATAAACTAAACATACTAAACACTGATCATATAACATACAATTATTAATGAAAAGCTTTGGTATTTACAAAGAAACAGCTTCTTAAAACTCCAGAGGTCTGTGAATGTTCATATCAGGGAATCTAGGAGCCTTTTCCATAGTAACCCACCACGAGAGTATCATTTATGGATGTGTATGTGTGTGGCTCCTGATAAATGATTATTGGCGTCCACCGTCTGTTGCTGTGACTGGAGCATTTCTCACCTGTTTTGTCACAATATTCAGTAACTGAAGGCGGCTGTCTCTCTGCAGTGTGCACAGTGTCTAAACCAGTATCAACCAGTACTTTTAAAAGCTCATCTGAAAGTTGGTGGTGTTCACATTAGACACATTTGAATGAAGAGATTTCACTAAGTGTGTCAGCTGTGCTCACCATCAGGTTGAAGATCAACGTGGAGTCGACAGAGATGGCTTTGAGCAACAACTGTGTGTCACTGTCGCTGGGTTTATATCGCAGACTGTACAACTCCTTGTTGCTGCTCCAGTCTGCGGGCAGCAGCTCGGACTTCTTATCACTGCTGAGGGGCTGGAGGTTTGAATGAGACGAAGAGACAAACAAACAAACAATAAAATAAACAGATTTAAAAATAGAGGGCAGTGATGGTGAATAATAGTGTCTGTGACTTAACCTATATTAGTATGACTCGGTAAGCTAGCTAAAGATGACATGACAGTTTTTAGAGCTCGTCGTAATATCTCCATTTTAAAACAAACGCTGGTTTATTCTGCTTCAAACAGAAATCGTTTAAACGATGCTAAAACACGTTTGTCAAACTGCCACAGTTCGGTAGAGAAGGACGGTTACATACAACGGCTCACATATGAAGCTAACGCTAATCTAACACGACGGCAAGTTAGCTAGTGCAGAACTCCGTTGTAAAAACAGACAATTTAATGTCTTTCTTAACAGCACAGGTCGATAACTCGTTTAAAAACAAACCAAAATTATTTAAATGTGTTGATAAGAGCTATTATTCAATTCGGTATATAACAATTTCACAAAAAAACTGTAATTTCGATGAAAGTGTAGTTCGGTTTCTCCAAACTCCATGACCCTCTTCATAAGAAGTCTGTCATACGACGAGCGGTTGAAACCAATGAACCGTGAATCATTAACATAGGAATTTAATCCAAAATAAATATTCTACTGTAATGTTAACCAATGATTAATGCAACATTAAACTGCTGGATTTTGATCAGAGTTTGGTGTGACGTTGTTTCTTTCAACACATCACATCAGGTGTAGCTTAATGTACGTTAGATTGTTCTCACCACGTCTCCGGACCCGACACACCTGAATCCGTTCTTTATCATTTCCCAGTGAACGAAACACACCACGGCGTCCTGTGGACAGCTGATGCTGCCCGCGACACAGGTGTATAACACCTCTAAACCTGCCATGTCTGTTCTGTCTACCAGCTACAACAACATCAGTTCAGTTTCTACCGGAGAAGTGAAAACGAAAGTGTCAACGGATTAACGGCAACAAGCAACGGTTACCACTTCCTGTCTACGCTTTTCAGTGTAAAAGCACAGCAACGACAGCTGCCAACCAAATGTAAAAACAAACATTCTGAGCATTCATAAATGATTTATTAACCATTAACTAAGTAGTTAATTAAAGCCTAGGAAGGCCTTGAACGTGGCGCTTTATCAGAGCTATAAATCTTGAGAGTACTAAAGGTAATAATGGACCTTAACTCTTGTAACAGTAAATAAAGTTTTAATGAGGTTTAGAAAAAAACATTTAGGAAAATGGGAAAGGTTTATTGAAGTAAAAGACTGGTTGTAATTGTGTCAACAAAAAAAAAAAAGTAATGCAGAATGTGATTTTTTTTCCTTTGTTTTGTTTCGGTTTCTTATATATTTATTCTTTAATATCTTATTTAGGTTGTGAAAGCCTGATTGTCAACGTAATGTTATGTGTTTGTGTTTATTATTTGGTTTGTTTAGTGTGACTTAGTGTGTTAAGTTTGATCTGTGTTTATTGTTTTGTCTTCTGGTTATTTATGTCATGTTTTTGTTCAATTAAAAAAAAAAGTTTTAATGAGGTTTGACTCCTTTTTATTTGGTTATTGTTCTTTGTATGATTATCATCGGTTTTTTTTTTTAATCTGTATGCTGTAAACTGGTTGAATAATACAAGACAAATTCCAGAAAAACATTCTGATAATAAAGTGAAATCAAATCAAATTAAACGCTGTCCATGTCTACGCTTCATAATGGCTCTAATTACTCTGACTCCTAAATATCCCAGTTGTTGAAAAAACACAAGAATTAATTGTAATCTGAGTGAATTTTGTTTTAATAAAACAAAGGTATCCCTAGCGGAAAACAGTGTTTACTGTTGTCTAACTTTACAGAGCTTAATTGTGTTTTGATCCAACACATAAAGAGCCCTGGTGAAAACATGGTCAGGTTTTATGGTTCCGCTTTGCAAAAAAAGAAAAAAGAACGAACTAACGAAAAACAAATAATCATTAATACATTAATTGCTTAATTTTTGTCAACTGACTGTACAAGTAGAGCGAGGCATCTAAACATAACAAAAAATAAATGAACAAATAGTTAAAAAGCAACTCCAAAAACAGAGAAAGGAAAAATTAACACAAACTCACAAATCCAAGTTAGAAACTACTAACTGATAAATTAAAAAATTGTTGAAATCAAATCAAAATCAATTATTCTAAATACAACTAATAATAATGATAATAATATCACACCGATTAGTGGTCGTCATTTTATTTGTTTCTTTGTTTTCGTGTGATTCCGTTCGGGTTTGCTTGTGCAATAAAAGACTATATTTCCCATCGTCCCTCTCGCAGGGTGGAGAGGACTTCCTTGTCAAGATGGCGGCTCCTTTGACTCTGCTTCTGCTTGTAGCAGTTACGGTCCGAGCCGCTCTGTTCAGATCCAGTTTAACGGAACTAATTTCGGAGAGGGTGGAGGTGGTGTCACCGTTGACCGCCTGGAAGAGAGGTAAGCGGGGGTTCGGCAGCTTTTTGGGCCCTTTTTTTTGTCGCTGAGACGCTGCTCCGGTTGCCTCCTCGCCTCGGCGCTGTCACCCGGTAATTGAATGAAGTCAGTAACGTCAAACCGGTTTAGCTACAAAAATTTGAATCTGCGGTTAAAAAAGATCGTTAAAGATTTAATAGAGAAGGTTGGTGAAGTTATTTTTTCCGTCGTTGTTTCTAATGGAGGTTTCTTCACTGTGTTTGGATTCTCTGGTTCAAAGATGTTGATGCATCAACCGGCGTCACCGGGGTCTGTACCGGGCTGAGATGAGAGGCTGGTTCCCCCCTTACTTTAACCCGACCACAACCTCACTCTTAACCGCAACCAGTCAACTGCCCAGTAGCCCCGGGTTTACTCCATATTATCTGGGTCACAACTAGGGGCGTAGCACACAAATCTGCCCCCCGGTGCACAGGCAGTGTATGTGATGGCCCCCTCGTCCACTTAATAACTCCTTAAAACACATGTACACTACATACTCCACAAGCATAAGCCCATGCATTTGTAGTAGTTATCATGGCAATCAGTAATAAAGTGTTAAATTAAGTTAAACTGAGCTTGAAGAATATTACAAAACATTTTTTACATGGCAGTTTGTAGGTGTTTATTAACCCCTGAGCATAAGACAAAGATAGGTCATCCTACTCTGATCCCTACACTCAGAAAGGATTTCATGAAAATATAATATCTCATTGGTATAATGTTTTATTCGTAGATTTAAGATGAAATAGTTTCCAAGAAGAGAGGCCCGGTCCGTTGCAACACAGACGCAGCATCGTAAAACTTTAGAAATGATCAATGCGCAGACAGATGAAATAGGCAGAGTGAGTATTCAAACTGAACCCTGCTATCACTCTCAAACTGACGGACTGATCGTGAGAGGGATCGTCAGGTTAGATAAGAACTCAGTCTGAGTTATTGAGGTTTTCTGCTGCTGCTGGGTTATTAGGATTACTTCCAGCAGGAAAACTCAGCTGCGGTGCTTCACTTTGAAGAGAGTCTGTGGCTGTTTGTTGGGGAACACTGAGGTTTTTGTATAAAGGGACAGACGCTCTCTCACATACACATGAGCTACTTGTGTGGATCGCAGTGAAACACCACAGCTCTTCATGAATTGTTCATTAGGCAGCTGCAGCAGGAAGTTGCATCATTAACGCGGAGGCTGTAGCTGCTTGTATTGAGGGAAGGGATGTGTTATGACGACCACAGCTGGATGGTGAAAATGCGTTTGGGTGACATTTTGTTTTGTTTGCAGTGGTTGAAGGTTTGGCTCTGCTCGATTTGGGAGTCTCACCGTACTCTGGAGATGTTTTCCATGAGGTGAGAGGTCAACACACACACACACACACACACACACACACACACACACACAAAGCTGCTTTTAAAGCACTTCATGATCCAGCATACACTCTGTCTCACGTGCTTAAAATCTATGAACCAGTGCAGCTGCTTAGCTTTTAGCTTTTAGCTTTTAGCCACTGCAGCAGTCTGTCTGACGACTGAGAACAGCTGGAGGTGCTGAAATCTTTAAACATACGACCTCTTCAGCCTGGTTCATAGACATTACTCACTTTATGTTATTCACTTATTTTATTGTATCTATGTTGTAAATTCTACACTATTAAATTTTTATTTTATATTTTATTGTTATTGATAATATATTTAAAATATTGATAAATTATTTTAAATATTTGAAAAATATTCTCGACCAATTTTTGTCCAGCTTTTATCTAACCCTATTTGTTATTATTATTATTATTATTATTATTATTATTATAGCTTGTAAAATTTACTGTATTTTATTGACATTTTTATCAGCGTTGTTTTTTTGTTTTTTGTTGTATCAATAACTTGTGAAACACTTTGAGCTGCACTAGCTTGTATGAAAGGAACTATACAAATAAAGTTGATTGATTGATTAATGACATTTATGACCAAGAGGGTAATTTCCACTATGACTGGGGGGGCGGCAAGTTTCCCATTATACACAACCTGTACGTCGTCCACAGCAGCCAACAGTCACACTTACTGTTTTGTTGCTTATAAGTCAAATGTAGAGGAAGTGACAGTGTAAATAGTTTTAGCTAAACATGTTAATTTGACCTGAGCGTGCACCTGATACACAGGTCCAACACAAACACACTAATCTCTCTGATACTCTGTTTTCTCCTCAGACTCCTCTCATCATTTACCTCTTTCACTTTGTGGTGGACTTCGCAGAGGTGACATTCATGGTGAGTGGGACGACAGAAAACATCCGTCTCATGTATTTATAAGAGACACATTGGTCTGAATACTCTTCATATGATCCAGTG